ATATATATATATATATATATAGGCAGAAGGACATTACCAGCAAAGGCATGGGACACTAGGAAGACCTCTTCTGTCTCATTAGGCGTCATCAGCTAGTGATACCCAACCCCAGTGGCGCCGCTGAAATTTCCGCCATACCGAGATTTGAACTCGCGATCTCTCCCGTCAGGGCGACGTCCTAACCGTGGAGCTACGAGCTCACGGTCTTGCCGATATTATACCAGAGAGATCGCGCGTTCAAATCTCGGTGTGGCAGCAATTTCAGCGGCCACACTGGGGTTGGGTGTCACCAATACTATATATTTATATGGTGTTAGAATGAACCTTCACATATGTTTCCGTATTGTCTTGTAGACTGCAATGCTGCAGGAGAGGCGGACAGTGTGTCAACAACTTAAAAATAACAATTCAAGCGACAATGGCAGCACCACCACCACCACCACCACCACGGATAAAGCAAAGGCCAGCCCCACAGTTACAACTGCAGCCCTAGACAACACCACAAATACAACCGCAACCCCAGAAAGCACCATAGCTAGCAGTACAGGCCAAGCCGAGAGCACCACAGCTTCAACCACTGCTACCGACAATGGTGGAAACTCGACTGCGACCTCCGGTGCTTCGGCTTTGCTGATAGTCCAGTGTGGCCTATTTTCCCTTCCTCTTGCTTTGCTCTCCAAATTTTAAGTGTTGGCAAGACACCTTTGAGTGTTCTGGAGTATAAAACACTTAATAAATGGGTTTTTTTAAATACTTGCTGGCAATTCTGATTTGCACGGGCCTACTCAAGCGGGATATGGCGTCTATGGTCCGTTTAAAACCGCTGTCGTATAATCTTGGAATTTGTAGAGCGTCGAAAATAACCGCTACCGTTAAGGGCAAGTGTCGACTGTTAATGCACCTTGAAACTTCCTATTTAGTCTAACATACTGCTGTTTACTAAGCATTTCTTTCATATTGTGATTGCTAGTGTATGTAATATGTCGGTAGCACAGTGTGTCTTCAAGAAAATGTGAACCATTGATTATAATCCTGCTACAATCGAAACCAACTAAACGTCTATTTACATTGGAGCGTTATTCGTTTCAGTTTTACAACCCCGTAGTTTCCGGTCGAAGATTGGTAAGGCCGCCCCGGCTCTCTCCAAAGTATACATTGTACCGCATTTTGCAAATTCAGCATAATCTTTTTGGACCGAACAATGGGTAACACATTTAGTATAAGCAACGGATCTAAATTATTTCGAAACATTTAAACAAAAGATTGACAGCGGATCTTATGAGAAAGAGAGAGATAAAATGCTTTATTTTGAAGTTAAAGTCTAACATTTTCAGCAAAAATGACTTCATTCACAGAGAGCAAAGAGTAATGTTAGCTTAAAGGTAAAAGAATACTCAAAGTTAAAGGTGACATGATATCCACATCTGTTATGGAGACAGGCCGGATATCAACTTCTGAATTTCACTCTCTTCCCACGTGAGGTAGCGTGCTATGAATGGGAGTACAGTGTGCCGATGCATGGCAATATATATGACTGAAACTTTGGCCCATAGTACGGGAAGACTTCACAGCCCTTAGTTCAGAGTGGAGAGGGTGAGCGACCTCACTAAGGATGCGATCAGCAAATTGATTGACCGTTCTAAAGTGCCGCTGTATTATAATGTCAGCTAAAAAACATAGGAAACATGGGCAGCTGAAGAGAGCATTCGGAGGATACGTTTAAAACTGACCAGGTCTTTTTAAGCAGGGAGCATTAAAGGACTATGTTATAGGCGGATTGCGAAAACTACCAACTTTCAGTTGAGGAAGATAGAAGGAATATTTTTCTTGAGTTCTGAATTGGGTGCAGGTGCGAGGGAATCATATAAGGAGCAAAACATATGGTGGCCACTTTAAATAAAACTTTAAACGTGCTCTCGGCAGTTTGTGAACATGCCTTCAAGGAAGCATGAGAATTCGGAATCATAATATTTGTGCTATAGTCGAGTCATGAGCTTGCATAGCTATATCAGTTTTTGCGTTTTTTCGAAGTAGACAGTTGACTGTTAAGAACGCAAAATGCAAATTAATTTCAGCAATATGGTATTTTTCAATGTGAGATCTAACCACAAACTTTCCTGAGTG